GTGGTGGTTGACACTGGATAGGCGGTAGGACGCCTACTGGTTGACCTGACCTGACCTGACCCGACCAGGCCCAAATGCATGAAGACGTCATCTTTGATCAAAACCAACATGAAATTTGTTATCAGCGCCCCCCCCCCAAAAAAAGCATAAAAGCTTCACTTTACGAAGTTCTAGCAGGTCCGATTTTCCCGACTTTTGGGTCATTGACCTGGCCTGGAAGGTCAACCAATGACCTATGACCTTAAAATTGGGTATCATCGGCTTCCTCTCGTCACGGGCAACACGCTGGTTTTTTCCCGCAAAGCTCTAGCTCGATCAGGGGCCGAACGGCAGGGGGGGGGGGGGGGAGGGGGTCCAACCGACGTAGGGGAAGGAGGGTGAATTGCGCCACCTTAAAGGGACCCTCCCACCTTAACATTAGTTTTGAGTTGAGATAGCCAAGTTTGCGGCCAGGCTCAGAAACCACCATTTATCCTGGTCGCAACCCCCGCAGCTTTATGGTGTTCAAGAAATTTCTTCCCTTTACTTGCAGGGTGGGACCAGCGTGGTCCCTATCTCTTAACCATTACGGGAATCTGATGACGTCATCAGGCTTTCGAACGTCCGTTAAATGTTTGACTAAAACGTTTTGTAGCACGCGGTGGTATATGCTGCTTTGCGCGCAACAAATGCCTCACTTTCAAATAAAGTCGTTAGGAACAGCGGAGATCCCAAAAAGTAAACAAAAGTAAAAGTCTAATATCTTGAAAACCGGTGAATATTTTTCGATGAAATTTGGTAGATATTCGTTTTTGCTCTTTCTGAACCGAGCGACATCACTTTCATGCCAATTCATTAACTTTTTTGAAGGTGGGAGGGTCCCTTTAAGGAAAAACGCTAATTGTAAGAAAACCGCTGGAGATATAAGCATGCACTGGTAACCACTTCAAAGAGGAACTCATTAGCTACGATTTGAGAGCCTTCCGATCAATAAAGAATGTTTCGTTTGCTTCTGAAAGCCGCTTTTTCAGAAACATGTAAAAGGGCGCATTTACCAACAACTGCTGTAAATTGCGCCAGGGGGATGGCGCAATTGGAATCCAATTGCGCCCTATACTTTAACATGGCTAAGCGAATGAGACGGAATGCATACACCCCGGCAGTCTAATGTCATTGCAGCTTACTTAAACATTTATAATGTTAATCAGGCTGGATAAATAATAAATGTAGATATAAATCGCGATGTTTTTTTGCCCAGGTAAATAACTTTACATGTGTCCGTATGCTTGTAAAAGTGCAACGAACATGTTTAATGTAACCGACTAGATATATGTGAACGTATGCGCCTATACCTACGGTTAAATTTTCAATCGTTTCTCTCAAAATCAATAATGTTTATCGTTTTGACAACTTTTTGACATCAGGTTGAGTTTTTACTTTTTTATCATAGCTGTCACCTCTCAAGCCTGAGTCCATGTTGAAAATGTAGTATTTTGTCAATTACACCACAAGTTCTTAGCCTAAATGGCAGCTGCATTTTAAGTTTGACGAGATGAATAATTTGCGGACTGGCGACAGCGGGCTGCTCCCCTGCCTGGCATTAAACTCCTTCTTCATTGCAATCAGTTAATGATGTATTCATACTGTTGTGATACAATAGCTACACCATTATTCTATTTGCGTCCCCCTGGCGCAATTGCCATGGGCGCAATTAAAATTGAGGTACTTTTGAATAGAAGTGTAGAAGTTATCATAAATATGCTGAAGGATGTTTACTGTTTCAGTGAAATATCATGAAAAAAGGGTTTTTCTTTCTAAATATCACTCTGAAAATCACACACGTATCGCATATTTTTATAGCCAATGGTTCAAAATACGGTAGAAAAGCTAAGAAAACGCCGTAATATCTTTGATGGCATAATGAGCCCTGCTGATTGGCTTCGTCGGAGAGCTTGGGCCATAAAATGAATTATCCAGTGGTGAAAATATTGTTTTCGATCACAAAACTATAAACATGTCATTGAATTCGTGGGAATGTTGGTGGGCGCAATTGGTTAGGAGGGCGCAATACACCCACTTTCCCCTACACGTTAGACGCTGTACCTAAAACACCGCACACAGCGAGGGTTAAGTCAAATTTTATGGTCGCCAGCACGGGGCCGGGGGCGGGGGGGGGGGGTGTTTGGACACCCCTCCGTAAGGTTTTCCGCAAATATATAAAAAAGGCGGCGGCAGCGCGGCTGTTTTCGACACTGCTATTAACACATCCTTTCCACACATTGTATCAACATGTCAGACCTAGGTCACCTCAGGGCTCAGGTCAGGTCACCAGGTCAAGTCAAGGGACCGAATCTCCGAAAAAAAATTAAACACCCGCCCTAGCAATACAGGGCAATACCTATAGCAATATAGATACACCTATTGACCGATCACTTTGAAACTGTCTGCATGTGACAAGGGTAACAAGATATAGGTACAAAGTGTATGGTCTCATATTTTTTTATATTTGTGACTTAAGGTAGGGGAGAGGCGGGAGAATTGGGACTTATTTCTCAGGCCATGTTCATTGAGGTATTATTTGGCAAGTATTGTAGCCAAGCTGCTTTGCGCAGCGCCAATAAAAGGTCGCACCATTTCTCTGCATTATGCCATCATAAAATAGCGAGCCTGTGCAATGATGTAGCTATATGTAGACAAAAACAAAAACACTCATTTTCAGGAGAATAGGGACACATGTGAGGAGACAAGGGACAGACACGAAGCTGAATTGGGACATATAAAAATCGGGTATTGGGATGACTCTATCTCGAATTATTTGTCATGTCTATGTTTATAGGCAATCATTTGATACACTGGAACTTATCTTCACACTATCTGTTTCGTTAAATGCCGAGATCGTCTTTCACGATTACGATGTTCCCATAAAATGCACATTTTCCTACCAGAGTAAGACTTTCTGGTCTTTGCTTTGATGTATTTGTGGTTAAGGGTGCAGCTGCAACCCCTTCCAAAACACGAAGGTAAAAACACATATTTTTTGCACCACTTTACCGTTTTTACCATTTGGTGTCCCTATTCTCCCACAACACCGCCATAACAAATCACGCATTTTTTTGTCATTTATCAGTTACAGAGCGTGTTCATAGAAACTAGCAATCGCATAAGGACGGTGTTAATCTAACATCGTAACATGTTAAAAGAAAGATAGTTTGTCATATGCAATGCACAGACAACTCAGAATAGCACTCGAAAAAACAAGTTTTTTGGTGCTCAGCCAGCACAGCCCAAACGACGCCCACAAAAGGGTTGCTAAGGCTTCCCATCGTTGCATGACACATAGAATCAAAAGGTAAAGGCAATAACCGTGCAAGGATGCTGTCCATTTTCTAGATATTGGCGTGTCCCTATTCTCCTGCGTCCCAATTCTCCCGCCTCTCCCCTAAGGTCGACTGTGTGACCTCTTCGTCTTCATTATAAGTCAATGGGAGAAAATATAACTCGTCCGGATTTGCGGCAAAATGATCCCAAACAACTAAAACATGCAAAGAGTAGCACTGGCAGGTCATTTACGTCGACTGGTGTCGCAATGACTTGCGCATTGAGCATTATAGGTCACGTGACGTCATCAGAGGTCACCAACAGTCAGGTCACCAACAGAGGTCAACCATAGGTACTACCTGTCAGACATAACACTGCACTTCAGGACTAAAACTGATAAAACATAGGAACCTAATAGAGGTTGGTAGCGGAGTTGCGGAGTTGCGGAGTTGCGAGTTGCGGTTTTACGATCTGCAAAATAGTTTCGGAGTTGCGATTGCGCTTTGGGTACCTTAGGTTGCGGAAGGTAGCGGTAGCGGTTTCCAAATTTCGGTAGCGATGCCCACCTCTGATGTTTACAGCCCCTGAACAATAACCATTGCAAAGGTCACCGGGGTCCATTGAAACGGATTGTGGCCCTGTTTCAACTGACCCTCAGAGAAGCGTTTCAATTGACCCCATCCGCTCCCGCCACCTCGCACGCGCCGTAAAGCACATGTCAAACGAGCTGGAGGGACGGCATCATGCTGAATGAAGGGCCAAATAAGGTGTTATTCCGGAGCCAGGAGTTCTTCTTTCAGCAAACAAAGGTATATGAGATATCACAAAATATTCATAAAAACGATTTCTCCCAAACGCCCCTCAAAAACACAAAAACAAGTGTCAAATCAATATTACCGTCCGTTTGCCGCCCAAACGCCGTTGACAAAGGAAGTGGTCGAGCGCGGATGCGCAGTGGTGTCGGCAACGCCATATGTTGCATACTGTTGAAAATAAAGCCATGTTTCATCTGACCCCGTGTTTCAACTGGCCCCGCTCTCCCCTACCCAAAGTCATTTTAGGAAAATTACACCCCTGTACAAAGGGCGCCGTGAGACCATGAAAAGGGGCGCCATTCTCCTAGAAGGGCGCCGAATGATTGAAAGCGCCATGTGGTCCAGGAGCGCTGAGAGGCCAGAAGGGCGCCGAACAGTCGAGGTATGCACGGTGGACAGAGACATAAGGGCGCGAGACAGTCAGGAGGGCGCTGTTAGACCATGAGAATGGCGCAGTGCTGTCAAAAGGGCGCCATTATCCCAGAACGGCGCCGAGTGATTTGAAACGCTATATTATCCAGGTCCCAGGAACGCGAGACAGTCCGGAGGACGCCTTTACAGCATGCGAAGGGCGCCGTGCTCTCGAAGGGACGCTTGTAAAAGACTCATGGGTGCATTTTCATCATTGTGGGAGCATAATTCAGGATTGTGGGTGCATCTGCTCCCACAAAGAGATAGAAAATTACAACCCTGTAGGCAGGGCAGCCTATTTCGGTAGCCTTTGTTAGCTTTACACTCCCATCTAGCCGCCAACCGCTTCGGCAGTCGGCACCCGTCTTCCACTCAAAATTTAGCAGTAGTTTAGCATGTCCAAATCAACTGCCGCCATTTGTGACGTTATGACGTCAAAGACAAATGCTGCGCACAAGCCACTTCTTTGACGCATTTATGCTCTTGTTTACGTTGATTACCTATTGTCGTTCGCGGTGAATGTCAGTTCTTTCTGTGTTTTTAATAATTTTCGGTCCTGCCAATACTCTCTTTTGATCATTAGATTCTGTGAGAATATTGCTTGGTGACTTTTCAAGAGTTGGCCCTAGATGGTGAATATTGATTCCACTGGAACGACTGGAACCCTGCTTCGACTCAAACTTGAACTGAAACTTGTGCGGGTGAGGCGCGGCCCAATCCTATTATTTATTGAATTGTAATGTAAGTTGAAGTGAAATGAGCTGCCCAGGAAGTGCAAGAACGATGTTGTTGGCTGAATCAGTCATTATTTTGAAGAGAAAATGACCTGATGGAAAGTGAAGGATTGAATACACTTGGATCAAGCTTATACAGAATGTCAACAAGACCTCATATGCCATTTGTTTCCAATTCTCATGCCATCAGGCAAGAGATACAAAGATTTGAAAGTGTTCATCCATCTATATATGCTATATATGATTTGATTGAACATGTGCAAGATCCAGCATTGGCTCAGCAGATCCGAGAGCATGTTGTGTGCATTGAAGGTGAGTAAAAGAAGGCTGGGAGAAGAAAGAGGTGCTTTGCATGCATGTTTTCTCCCTCTGTTGTGATAGATAAATCAGAAAGCCGGTAGCTTATTTTAAAATAGGACCCTGATATTGGAAGTGTCCATTGTTAGCCAAGATGTACTAGTAATAGGTAGGTACCTACCTTCCAATATGATTTAATCTTCTGTACACCCTTCTCTTAATCACAATGTTCCAGTTGTATGGCCAAGAGCTCTGTTTGCTCGGGATCTATCATGCCATATGGCTGTTGATTCTCCGCACATTGATTTGGTAATGTAGGTACTAGGTAGGGTGATAATGATATGTACAGATATGGGTATGAGGTACACAGTGGTAATTGCACAGTATTTACTGAAGCTACCCATACATTGCATTGGTCTGTTGTGGTGAACATGATTGGGACATGCATTCATATTTCATGTCCTTTGACCATGAAAGTTATTAATTGATTAAAATAGGTACTGTGAAATATGGGGTAAATGTGTAGATGAAGTATGGTGAAGTTAAAAAGCATAATCTAACCTGGGCGCTGTTCGGTCACAGTTTTTTATCAGCAGGCTGCGAGCATGCTGCTATTTCTTGGCTCCTCATTGGTCAAATTCACATGGTCTCTTCATTTCACCAATGAGAGGCCAAGAAGCGCCAGCAATAACTTCCGGGTAGGTATATGGGAAAAACCGACAGCATGCTGATAAAAAACAGCGACCGAACAGAGCTCAGACCTAGCCTTACTTACTGAATTACAACCTTGAGCCTATCAACCTACAAGAATGCAACCTAAAGCCTACAACCTGCAACCTACTAACCTACAACCTACCAACTTACCAACCATACTTTATCTACACATAGACCAAATGTGGTTTGCAGTGGTAACCTTTTATTATTATCAGAAAATCCTTCAGGAACAGCTAATAATTTTAGCCTGCTAGTTACACTGGAGCTAGGAAAGTTTTTTTTTGGGTAAAAGTTTGGGATGGAAAACAGAATCACTGCCTTTTTCAATAATGAAGTCAAAATTCCCTTAAATGCATTTTGGTTGAGCAGCATTTACCTACCCCTTAAAAGTAATGAAAAGTGATTTGGTTAGGGTTAATGTGGCTTTGCTTGTGGGCCATTTTTATTATTTGGTTCATTCAGCTGCATTTCTAGAGCATTTTGGCAGTTGATTGTCCAGTGTTGGTGTCCTTAAAAAAATACCAAGTATCTGAGCATCACTTGTGAAAGTACATGACTATGAATTTCATCTAGCTGGCATGGCTGACAATTGAAGTATGAAAGTAATTTGTAGTTGTGGCATAAGTTATTGCTAATATGTTTTTTTTAATTTGTCAAAATTTATTTTAAAAAATCCATGAAATGCTGATAAATGCTTGTCATAATGTGTGCATGTTTACGATCACATTTCATGATATACATGCCATTCATTATAAATATAGCTGGGTAATAGGTATCATCCTGCCACAATACTGACTTTCCCTCTGAGCTGTTTATCTGCATTATTCCAGATTGACCACTCTTTGATCCTGATCTGCTGCCCCAGACTCATTCTTCCTTTGTGAGTTGCATTGTTCTGGATTGTTCTGCATTGTTCTGGACTGACCGCCCTTCCCCGGTCTGTTGTCCCCAGACTCGTTCGTCAACAGCCAGGAGTGGACCCTGAGCCGGGCGGTGCCCGACCTGCGGCTGGGCATCGTGGGCAGTCTCAGCTCGGGCAAGTCGGCGCTGGTGCACCGCTACCTGACTGGCTCCTACATGCAGGAGGAGTCGCCCGAGGGCGGCCGCTTCAAAAAGGAGATGGTGCTCGACGGCCAGAGCTACCTGCTGCTGATCCGGGACGAGGGCGGCCCGCCGGAGCTGCAGGTCAGTCCAACGCCTCGGCCCGGCTGCGGCCGAGGTCTCGGCTGTTTCACAACGGGCCGGCGACGCCCGACAGCTAGGGGGCGGGGGGACGCCGTGGACATACAGTCACTGGGAGCTCCGGGAGGGGCGTGGCGTTACGAGAAGGGAACGGAGCATCGGGACTTTTGGAAAATCGATTACTGTCAATCATGTAACAGTTGACTTATACCTACCTAACAAGTATTGTACGGAGTTTTTGCAGTCCCATACGTTAGGTACGGTCTAATCGAAATCCAAACACGGCCGGTCATTGGCTCCTGTCGTGGTCTGGAATGCGAGTTCGGTTGAGCTGGTACTGGAGCGGAATGCCGGCTTGCAGGCTGGTGTGTGTATCGTGTCTGTAGAGCGGACTGGGCGGGGGCGGGTCCGATTCCTACAGGCCGGGTCGGCGGGGCGCGGTCGGCGACTGACGCGTGTGTCAGACCCCGCGCCCTGGCGCTCGCCGGTCATGGACGCAAATAGCCCGGCGCCCGGCTGACGGCTCTCCAGAGCGTGACACACCGACACGGAATGGTGACGGGGGCAGCTGTCAAACGCCCACCGCCAATGACTGAGAGGGAGAGACTCGGGGATTCCGCGTCGTCGTAGAAAGTCACCGTAGAAAACTGTGTTGGGTGTAGACAGTCCATAAGCAGCGCTCTACGGGCTGGTCGATGCGGTGGATGGATGGCTTTTGAGGCGAGCTCGGCTGCCCTGTGTTTTGTCGGCACATTGAAGAAGGAACGGTACACATGGCCAAGGACATTTGGTGCCCGCGGTCGGCATGGACCATTGTTTACCGCACACTTGAGCCGTTACCAACGCTGGTTCTAAGGTATGTTTGATGGATAAGGCGCCGCCTGCGGTGCAGACCACAATGACTAATTGGTGTCGAAGTGCATGGATTATTGACGGTGCTCCTCACGCCTGACGGGCTCGACCCAGCCCGGAAGTAGTGGCTCAGGCCATTGCGTTATTTTCGCGTCTGGCTCTCTGAACACTTTTTTATTATTTGTTTTCACTCCTCGTCTCTGAATGGAGTCGCTAATCCTTCAGCTGTATTCTTCTTTTTATCCATTTGACAATGCGTCATGATAATGATGAACAGCTCTTCGGATGGCGTTACCACCTGGCTGTGGCTGTTTTGGGTCTGTGTGGACTTGGCAGTAAGGAATTTGCACAAGACAAATGAGCGTCTTTTAATATTGTTGCATATTGTGAAGGACTCATCAACGAACACGGGATGGACCCATGGTGTCCGTGGTATGGCACGGTTTAACGTGCGACAATGTCATTATTTATACTGGATTATCATTATCAGCAGCCATTGTCCATAATCTGATTAGGTGTTCATTGTCATGAGGTATTATAACCAAATCCTCAACAGGCCCTTGTCACCTTCATGATCCATGTACCTATAAGGTACGTTTACTTGGCAGGCGTCATTTATATGTAGTAGGTACATATATTTATATGTATGTAGGTACTTATGTATGCACGCACTGTTTGCTTACAATTATTACAAAGCAGAGCGCGCTGCGCAAACATAGCCCAAAGGTAGCCATACGGAATTTCCAAGCAACCAGCACGAAGCAGCGATGGCGATTACCGTGCCCATGAAGCTGAACGCGGTCCGCTCCGCTCGTCGCCTTAATTTGACCACGAGTGTGGTGACAGGTACGACCACGGGTCGCTAACCACCACCACGGGCTGGTGATGGTAGAATGGGCGCCAGAGCGCATAGAACCGAACTGCTTGGGTAGTGTAATTGTCAGGAAGGTATTTTTGAACAGTAGAAGTAGGTAATTCAATTATTCATGAGTTGCGTCATCAGTTGTGGAATTTCTGCTGATTAATTAAGGAACATGTTAGCAAGATCACATATTCATATGTCATTTGTACGGATCTGTCGCTTCATTACCTGGTTGCCGCATACCCGTATCGCCATAAGCACGCTCATATCGTTATAATCTCAACCACCAACTGCGTTCACTTGTGTTCATAACGACCGTCGAAGCGCCGCTCTCACTGATAGAACTTTTCCTCGTAGTAATTCCGAGAGATTTTCATCCGCTACGCTGCCCAGGTGTGCACATTTTCCTGTTGCATTGTCAGTTTAAGTATAATAAACGATTTCAGAAATCGTTCGTATTGTAGAGAACATCCACCATTGGTATCATAATGTCAGTACCTATGAATACCTTTGAAAGCCTCGGCCATTCGCTGAACCTAAGATCAAATAAATAATTTTCGAGTTGTGCCGTCACTATGCACGCCCAAGCTCTACTCTCGCTCGACGTATTCCGTCGATTCCGTCTACCTGTGGCTCCTCTATGCTGTGAAACCATGGCGGACTGCCCCGAACTACAGCGGGCTGGCTCGAACTACAGTGGGCTGCCCCGAACTACAGCGGGCTGGCTCGAACTACAGTGGGCTGCCTCGGTCCACAGCGGGCTGCCTCAGCCCAACATTGCGTCAGCGGGCGGCCGGTGACATCCCCGGCTCGCGAGTGCATGTAGTGCGTGCAGCGTGTGTCGTCGCATTGCTAGTCTGGCGGCGTCCCTGTGCGGACTAGCACGAGTGGACTGACTCTCAGCCTGGCTGAACCGTCCTCTGACCGAGTTGGGCCGCTCCCTAACTGGTCTGATGGACCGTCTCACTGCCAGGCTGAACCGCCCTCTGACGGGGCTTGACGGCTGGACCGTCCCTCTGACCAGGCTGGACTGTTCCCTGTCCCTGTTGGACCGTTTCTGGACTCGGCGGGCCGCCCGGCCCGTGTTACGGCCCGTGTGCACGCCTGTCCGTCCCGCTCGGCTGGCGGCGACGGCGGCTGTATACATACAAACCGCCGCAGCCAGCTGGCGCCGTCCTGCACCGCCGCGGTCAGCGCCGGATGGCCTATGAACGGTCAGCTAGACACGGCACCGCCCGACAGCCGCCTGCCGGTGATCCACCCACCGTCCACCTAGCCACCCTCCCAATCCACCCCATCGTCCGCTCACCCACCAGCCACCCCACCGTTCGCCCATATCCACCCGGTCCCGTAATCCACCCCGCCGCGCCGTCCGCCCCGCCACCCGGCGCTCACCAGGGGCCTGAATCCGCGTGTTTTAAGAGTAGTTCTGCTCCTTGGTCGGCCACCCGTGGTGCACATCCACCGCCAACCGCCCGTAACTTGATCCCACCGGCCACCACCTCTTTGGCCGGTCTGTTCAGACTCAGATCGGTCCGTCTCCTCGGTCATTCAACGTTACTCTCAGTGCATTTCCCTCTGTCCATTCGGACGTAGTCGCATCTTCCGGGGATCATAGGGAGCGCGGTTCGAGAAGCGCGGAAAAAGTTGAGGCGGTACTGTGCAATTCTACTGATGTATAAAGTGCTGCAGGATGACTGCATTACGCGACACTGATACGCTTGCATCGACGAGCGTTAGAAGTCGGACTGGTTTCATTCCCTTGCGGCTGTTTGATCTTTTTTTTTCCCATGATATTTTTGAACAGGTGGAATTTACGACTCGTACTTTGGCAGCTGCCAAAACTCCTCTTTGTATGGCCGGTGAGCTAGCGGATATTTCCTGTAGGCATAAAGCGGCTGGCAACCGCGGTGTGTTGACCTCCTGGGAACCGGTGTCCAATGGGATGACGGGACCGGCGCCGCCAGAGTGATGATCTCACGGCGATCAATCGGTGCAGGGTTCCGAGTAGAGCAGTGAGGTTTTCGTTCGCCTTCTCAGCAGCGGTGGTTTGTTTTTATTGATCTTGGGGCTGTGTCTGACACCGTGCGAGAGGCTCGGTGGAAGCTGCCAACTGTGTCAGCGGGGCAGCTCGAGACCAGGCCTGCACGTGATATGTGTGACAAATCACCCCAATAAGGTGACTGGCTGCTGCCGTACTACGCCTCCACAGCCTCGGGCGCATCTCAGCTGAGCCATTAACTGACCCAGATAATTCAATGTCACTCCGTGTGAAGCGTATACACGGCGACTGGCAGTAGCCGGCCGGACGTCCGTTTTCCTTGACCAGCGATCTCCTTGATCCCGTTGTGTCCGGGGTGATGCTGAGGCGGCTGGCGCTCGCCCGGTGCCGGGCAGACGCGGGGATGGACGGGCCACTGTAAACATGGCGCGGCGCGGACGGCACGCCAGTGTCGTGAGAGCGGCGCGACGCGCTCACGGCGCCGCTGATTGAGCGATCACGCTCCGCTCCGGGCCGGGCCGGTCCGGCGTGCCGTCCGCGGTCGGCAGGTCACCGGCCGGCGCGGAACTCGGCAATTTGCAACTGATCGCGACTGCAGGAGCTGTGGCAGCTCACGAAGACGTGATAACATACTGGTCGGGGTGCCGGCTGGTGGTTTACGTGGTTTACGTGGTTGTCAGTGTTTTACGTAACGACGTCGTGAGCTGTTTCGGATAAAATGCATCACGTTTGGCCTGGAATACGGAAACAAATCAAACCTTCCAGTCGGCTCAACCATAGCTCAACATGGCTCAACCTTTCATCCGTGAAGATATGTTGTTATGGGAACCTTTTCCGTGGAAAAAATGGTGTCATCAGACACCGTCATTTCTGATGGCGGGCGCATTTTCTGTGCTGCATTGGAGCCGAGCTGCCGGCACACCAACCCCGCACCCGAGACGGAGACAGCGTGGTCCGGTAAATTACTGACCGGCCGCCTTCCCCTCCCTCGGCCACGGACAAACTCGGAGCTGTGCCTGCGACGGTGCGGGGTGCATGCACAACACAAACAGTGACAGCCTTGGCTGTCTTATGCCCTGCGGGCCTGCAGCCCCCCCCTCCGGCCCTGCAGAGGGTGCCGGCATACCACGCGCCGCCCCTCCCCTCTCCCTCCCCGTCGTGCCGGCGTCACTGTCCAGTGTCCAGGGGTCTGGTCCGGCCTGGCCTGGCGGTCTGCTCGCTGCAGCAGACACATGCACACATACACACACGTCACAAACGACGCATAGCTTTGACATGCCACACTTG